TATGTCTCTATATTCCCTTGAGAGTCATGTTTAGTCTTGTAGACCCATTTATAGCCTACTGTTTTGACTCTTTTAGGAATCATTTCCAAATCCCAAACTTTATTGACATTCATCGATTTCATTTCATCTTCCATTTGGAATTCCTTAGTGTTATACACTTCATAATCAGCAGAAATAGCTGATTTTCTAACTCTTTGAGACCTACTAGGGGCCTTCACATTTGGCACATCTTCTATTTGAGGCTGTTGTTGCTCCCTCTTATGTGTGGCAATAGGTTCTATAGAATCCTGAAGAACAGGTTCCTCATCGTCATTCATTGTTGCCACAGGTGGGATAACAACAGGTGCTGGCACCATAGTATCTAGCACTGTCGGTGCAGCTACAACAGGTAGTGAGAAAAATGGCTCATGAATCATTGGAGTGGGCGCATACACCCGCTTCACTTCAAGGACAATTTCTCGAGCTACCATGCCCCCCTTATCTTTTCGTCCTCTAGGAAGACAGCGTGTCTCGTTTCCACAAACTTTGTATGTCACTGTGGATAGTAGAAACGAAAACCTTTTAACTTTTCTTTGTAGCCAATGAAATGGCAACTTACTATTTTGGGATTTAGTTTTCCAATGTTTGGGTTAAATACTTTAGCCTCAGCAGGGCTCCCCCACACACTCAAGTGTTTAGTGAGGGTACTCTTTCTGTCCACAACTCATACGGTGTTTTGGGCACCGACTTTCTTGATACTTTATTGAGAATATGAATGGCCGTTTTCAACGCTTCCATTCACAAGCTCAACTATAAGGTGGAGTAACTTATCATACTGCCCACCATATCCATCAGGGTACGATTGATTCTTTTAGCTACTCTATTCTGCTGAGGTTTGCCCGGTATAGAATATTGGGCTACTATACCATTCTTTTAGGGTATGCTGACCGTAGTACTCCTCCACGGTCAGACCTGACTATCTTAATCTTTAATATCTTAAATTTATCCAATACATCTTTTCTTTCTTTGATTGGATAAATATAGCTATAATGGGAGTACTCATATGTGAATATTATGAACGAATCATTACCATCCACACTCTTTACAGGAAAACTGACCACAGATGTCTGTGTGAATAATCTATAAAACTCATGCACTTCATTTGGCATCTTTCTTAATCTTCTTTACATACTTTCCTTTTATGCATTCTTTGCATTGTTCTAAATCTGAGAGCTCTAATGGAGGAAGAATATCATTCTTAACTTATCTTTCTATTCTCCCCCTCGAAATATGGCCTAAACGACAGTGCCATAATTTTGATAACGCATCGTGAGCTCTCTTATGCCACCATTTCCAGAGTAACACTCTGTGACCAACTGCTTTATCAGCTAAGTGGCATATGTCTTTGAAGAGCCAGTGAACTGACTCTTTATTCCATCGAGGTATTCGGTGACCGTGTCATATTCTGGGATTGAGCCCACAATTACAGGTTAAATTATGTTCTTTATCACCGCTAAACATTTCTTGTTTGCAGTGACCCACTTCCTATGCTCAAAAGCCATAGGATATCTTTTGGGATTCAAAATCCCTTTCTTTAGTTGCCCAAGTGGCATCATTCACTTTTGTCTCCCTCACCGGTGCCACAATCTCAGTGGAACACGATGAGGTGACTACCCAGTCCACCTTAGACAAGATGAAAATCAGGTCAAAACTTTTCTTAACATAAAATAACACCATTTGCATGCCTTGATTCCAACGTTGGTCAAAATCAAAACATACAACTATTCTTATACACTAATTCTACATCACCGTTGGGCAGAAATAGAATTAATGCATAAATCATTAACTTTCACATCTGTTCTTACACACTAATTCTATATCACCGTTGGACAGAAATAGAATTAATGCATAAATCATTAACTTTTACAACTGTTCTCATACACTAATTTTACATCACCGTTGGGCAGAAGTAGAATTAATGCATAAATCATTAAAATTATCAACTTTTCTTATACACTAATTCTACATCACCGTTGGGCAGAAGTAGAATTAATGCATAAATCATTAAAATTATCAACTTTTCTTATACACTAATTCTACATCACCGTTGAGCAGAAGTAGAATTAATGCATAAATCATTATAATTATGATATTGTTATTAACAACGTTGGTTAGAAAATAACATCATAATCATATCAAAACTCTTTTTCTCCAATTAAATACCACATTGGTTCAAAATAACTGGAGAATCAACAACTTTTCTTTGGCTGTGGAAAAACTCTCTTTCCTTAAATTTTACCCACAGGGAAAATTGCTTTTTCTATTTTCTTTAATCCATTAATCAATTTTCAGGAAATAAAGATTTACTAGAAAAACTTTTCTTTTCTCCAGTTAAATATCATGTCTGTTCAAAATTATTGGAGAATATACTTTTTCTTTAGCAGCGGAAAAAATCTCTTTTTTTCTCCAATTAAATACCACGTTGGTACAAATTAAATGGAGAATAAACATTTTCTCCTGTTCAAAATTATTGGAGAATATACTTTTTCTTTAGCAGCGGAAAAAATCTCTTTTTTTCTCCAATTAAATACCACGTTGGTACAAATTAAATGAAGAATAAACATTTTCTCTTTAGCAGCGGAAAATAATTCAATTTAATGAATTTTGCCCACAGGACAAATCTCTTTTCTATTTTCTTTAAGCCATTTATTCATTTTCCAGGAAATAAATGTTTGCTGGAAAAAGAAAAAACAAAAACTGAATCATTTCAATTCTGTTCACTTGGCTCAGACCGTTAAAGCGGCCCGCCCACTCCAAAGACGCCAGACAGCCCCATCCCGCTTCGCACCTGTGTGTGCAACCTAGGCTGGGCCGAAAAAATGGCTCGGCCTTCGCGCCTACTTGGCTGAGTTTGGCCCAATCATACTCTCCGCCGTCGGATCACATCCGACGGTCGCCCGACCGCGTTCGCTTCGGATGGATAAAACCCGACGCCACTTGCTGCCGTGGAAAAAACCCTAGGTCATTTTCATTCTCTGCTCTCTCTCTCTCTCTCTTCTTCGCCGCTCTCTCCTCTCTCTACCTCATCTCTTCTCAGCCGAGCACAACCGAGCGAGCGAGAGCGAGCGAAGGCGTCCATGACACCGCCGCCGGCCCCCTCGCCGGTGACCCCTTTGCCGAGCCCGGCGAACAGCCCGCCCCTGGCTCGGTCTTCTTCTCCCTCGCCGGGTGATTAGGGTTTGGATTCTTCTTTTCTTTTCTCTGATTTGCTTTTGTGATCTTTCTTACTTTTTCCGGAGTTCATCCGAATAGATCTAGGGTTAGGGTTCTGGCCCCGACCCCTGTTCTTCTTCTTTCTTTTCTGTTTTCCTTTCTTTCTTCTCGGATTGAACCGATTAATGATGGGGATTCGTTCTAGGGTTAGGGTTTCGCTTTTCAATTGATTTCTTTTTCTTTTCTTTGATTTAGGGTTCGGCTCTGTTCATCTTAAGGCCGAAACCTTTTCTTTTCTTCTTCCCCGAGCTATTTGTGCGGGTTAGGGTTAGGTTCTTGAGATCCTTTCCCCTTTCTATTCACTGTTGTTTCACCCGATTAGGGTTAGGGTTGGGATTCTTAAGATCCTTTTCCCCTTTCTATTCTCTGATCCGAACAAGGATCTGTTCTTTTCTTGTTGCGCGCCGGTGAGGACGGCAATGCTCTTCTTCCCCCGCGCGGTGGCGGTGGTGACCGGGTTCCAGTGACATCCGCCACCCCCGGTCCCTTTTCTTTGCTTTTACCCGGTTAGGGTTAGGGTTACACAAAGGCAACCGGCTCTGGTACCATTGTTAGGATCGTAGGATTGGTACCTCTGTGTGACCCATAGATCCGGGTAGACTCCTCGCCTTCTCTCTGGAGATACACCGTAGCGGGTAGACGCCGGTGCCGCAGTGTAGAAGACGTCCAGCGCGGTGGCGGTGAAGTCCAGTGGCGCTGGTGGAGAGACAGCGGTCCGGTGGTGACCCTACAGTGGGTCGACGGCGGTGGTTGGGGCTCATCCCGTCGCTGGCAGCACGGCCTTTAGATCGGATTAGGGTTACTGTAGGTGGGATGGCGGCTCATGACGAACATCGTAGTCCGAGCCCTTATCCCCACCTTTCTTTTATATGTGCTGTGGACAGGGGCCCACCAACCGGATTAGGGTTGGGCTCCCCCGATCAGAGAGCAGAAATAAGGGCCCAATAGTCCGTTGGGCCTATTGGTGGAGATCAACTAACAATGTCCTCATCTTCCTCCTCCACCTGTCCTATTTTCATTAGCAAGCATTTTTATCTTGTGATTATGTGTACATGTGTTCTGTGGCCGGCTGCATGGCACTGTGCCTGCTTGGCTGGTCTGCAATCAGCAAGCATTTTTATCTGTGTTCTGTGTTGATGGCTTTGCAATCAGCAGTCATGTCAAAATTCAGCTACTGTTCCTCATCCTGATTGCTACCTGCTGTTGCCGCCGATGCTTACCTGCTGATGCCTACCTGCTGCCGCCGCCTGATGCCTGCAGATAGCCCTGCATTTTGCATATGTGTTCGTATATACACAAGTGAGACCGACATATGATTTTTTTAGAAGTTAAATATTGGGAACTATTGGAGATGACCTTCTTTATTTCTCCTAAAATATTTTTAGGAGCTGTGAAACGTGGACTTTTTAGAAGAAATATTTACGAAACTCTTGGATATGCTCTTAGCCTACCCTAAATTGTTTTTACTTAAAGACTTTGTTGTTGTTGTTGTTGTTGTTGTTGTTGTTGTTGTTGTTGTTGTTGTTGTTGTTGTTGTTGTTGTTGTTGTTGTTGTTGTTGTTGTTGTTGTTGTTGTTGGATATGCTCTAATGCAGCTTCGATCAACATGCCTCACAGCATAAATACAGGGGCTCCGAACAACTGAAGGCACCTGCCCAAGAGCTCAATCCCCCTCCACCTCCCCCACCCATACCTCCCCCAGGACGGACCTCCGCTCCTACGCGAAAGCGGTCCGTGGTTCGGAGCCCATGGCGGCGGCTAGGTACCCGGGCGACCCGCGTGCTAGGCCGGACCGCAGCTACTGCGCGGTGACGGCGACCGGCTCCATCAGGCGCCGCCGCGAGGACCTCATCAACAAGGCCGTCGTCTGCTGGCTGTACTCCAACAGCCATGACACGGAAGCCCACCATCTCGGCGACGCCATCCGCGGCAGGCTGCATCTTCGCCACGAGGACATCCAGATCGTGAAGCACTACCCCGAGCAGTTCCTGATCATCTTCTTCGAGCCGGCGAACAGGGAGCAGCTGCTGGACCGGGGCGTCATCTCTGAGGGGGGGCAAGACTTCCACTTCGCCCCCTGGAGCGAGCGCCGCAACGCCGTCAACACCAACTGGGAGTTCCGCGTCAAGGTGCGCATTGAGGGCATCCCAGTGCATTGCTGGGCTGAGGATGTCGCAGCGCGAACACTGGGACGAAGCTGCGCTGTGCACTTCCTGGAGGAGAAGACATGCCGCCGCGAGCGCACCAGGACATTCGATCTGTGGGCGTGGTGCTGCAACCCCTACGACATCCCCAAGGAGGTCCTCCTCACCGTCACCGAGCCTGACAGGGAGCTTCCACCGACTTCGATCCCGCTCCTCCAGGCGCCACCACGCCACGACAAGCCTGTCGACCTCAAGCGTGCCCACGTCTACACCTTGCGCAACCATCTGGAGTGGGTGGAGGATCTGACCATTTTGCAGGGACGCGGCAGGGCGGGTGGCCCTATGAACCGCAAGCCGCGCAGGGAACTTGTCTGGAGCTATGGCGTCCCTGACTCAGTTGGCGAGCGTCCCCCGGGCAGACGGGGCGATGATCGTGGCCGAGGCTTTGGGCACCATCAGAGGAGAGACGACTACGACTACGACTACGACCACGGCAGCCGCAACTATGGCATCCGCCGCCACCGCAGCGTCTCCAGCTGGGCCAGGAACTCGCGCTGCAGGGGCGCAATGGACGACTGCATCAGCTCCAACAGGTGGCGTGGGGGGAGGGGCTCCCCGCCAACTCGAGGCAGGGGCTCCACAACGCTCTGCCAGGCTCCAACCATGGTGTGGAAGGTGAAGGCAACCAAGGACAGGTCGAAGCAAAAGAAGGTGTCCTTCGCTGACCCAATAGCAACTGAACTCAAGGCTCCCAGACCCACCCTGCGCGACGACAGCATTATGCTCATCAAGGAGAAGGAGGCCAGCAAGGAGCCTGAGCAAGGGGGCACAGCCAACGTAACCAACAACACCGTCAACCCTCTCACCATTGAGCAGCTTGCTATCTGCTCTTCAGTCGATAAAGTGGTGCAGGCAGGACCATCACTCAATGTTTACTCTTATCTTGCAGAGAAAGAGGTCAGCAAGGAGCCTGAGCAGGGGGGGCACAGCCACTGTCATCAACAACACCGTTAACCTCCTCACGATGGCCGGGATGGGCGAGGATGTGCAGCAGGCTATTATCGAGACACTCAAGCTGATGGAGAGGGAGCTCATTCTGCCATGCAACAATCTGGTGAGCAACACCCAACAGTCCCATCTTTCACTTGAGGTTCCTGATACACCAGTAGTAGATCAGGGTGAAAATTTAGAACATACTGGGGAGGAACAGCCAGTAGAAGCATCAGGGCAGCTTGAACCCTAGGCCAATGAGGCAACCTACCTTAGCTCTAGAGATGTAGAGTTCCTACAACCTGTTCCCTCACATGAAGGCCTTGATAGCACCACTATAATGGCCCAGGAACCAGCGTTTGAGGTTACTGGTTCGGTGGTTGATTCTAGTTGTGATACAGTACAGCCAGCTAATCCTAGGTGTGACCCAACGTTAGTAAATCTCAGTGATGATTCAGCATCACTACCCAACCCCAGTAGTGACCCAACATCACATAACATGACAGTGGACGATTTCTTAGAGTCCCTGGAGGCCCCTATACAACAATCAATCATACAAGAGGTTTTTCAAATGCCACACACTGAGGAGGGGCATTTTGACCCTTCACACACATCAACTCAGAGAAAAAGCATTAGGTTGGCAAAAAAGGAAGAACTAAATGTAGGCAAGGACACTATTCAAGTGGCGCAAGATTTATTAGTCAAGAAGCTAGGAGAATTAGCAGGAGAGACTCCTAATGAAGAAGAAGCTGACTTTGATTTCTATGCGCAGCACTTCCAGAGGCCGATTGAGCAGAACAAGATGGAGGCCATCCAGATCCTGATCGAGCAGGGTAACAAGAAAAGGAAGGCGAGCACCACCAGCAAGAGGATGGCTGCTCAGGTGGTGCTGGAAGCCTAGATGGGCCTCCAGCACAAGTAGCCACAATCATCCATGTTAGTTCCTCCATGTAATGGGGATAGGGCGGAATGCCCATTGTATCGTAGTGCCCAAAGTGGCGGTAAGGGGGCGGTCAGGCCCGAGTTAGTAGTTGATCTGAAGATCAGACTTGTTGATGAGTCATGGATTGGCACCTGCTGGCCGTGCAGCCTTCGGTGCGTTGTTTGTATTCGTGAGACATGGATCGGATCCGGCCTGCTGGCTCTGTTGCCTTCGGCGATGTCCAGTTATGGACTATTGGTTGAACTCTTATGGCTGTGCATGACCCATTCCAGCAATTGTTCTCTCATGTATGCAAGATATCATCTATTACCTGAGATTTGGCACACGGTAGTGAATTCGGTTATCTATGTCTAACAAAAACTGTAATATTATCTGTTGGAATGTCAGAGGCTTAAACGATGGAGCTAAAAGGGCAAGCGTAAGAAATAAAATCATCTCATCGGGGGCCACTGTGGTTTGCCTACAGGAAACGAAAATTGCAAACTGGACACACACTCTGATTGCTGAGACAGTAGGGGGCGATTTGGCACAAAACGTGGTATTCTTACCATCGTCTGGGGCATCTGGAGGGATACTGATGGCTGCATCAGAACGTTTCTTCAAGCTAGGGAACCCCCACCTGACGCCAAATTCAGTGTCGGCAACTCTCACAATATTGGCAGATAATAAAGAGTGGTCACTCACAGGAGTCTATGGGCCACAATCAGACAACGATAAGATGCTGTTCATGCAGGAAATCACAAACCTGAAACAACTCATGTTTTTTTTTCTTTTTTTTCTCGAATACGCACGAGTGTGCATATCATTGTATTAGAAGAAAGAGTTTATAATACAAGAGTTGCATTCCCGGCCGTTAGTTAGTTTTTCTACGGACGCTACATTATGGAAAAAACAACAACCGTAATCCATGTCTATCCTGACAAGGACCTAGCCCTGCGCTAGCGCACGTAGCCCGCTTGCTCCGGCCTGAATCCATCGGTCGGCTTCGTTCTTGATGATGTGCAGTAGGTCGCCGACGGACAATGTCGATTCCCGGAAACATCTTGCGTTCCGTTCCTTCCATAGTTGCCAGGAGACGAGGGCGAAGAGGGAGTCCATACCGTTTCGCCGATCGCCGGTGCACACTGACCGCAATCGGCGCCACCAGGAGAGCGTCGTTTGGGAGACTGGTGGAACTTGCTGCCCAAGCGCTTGCAGGACATAGTACCATACCTCACGGGTGAACGGGCATACTGCAATGATGTGGTCTATTGTTTCCTGTCCTTGGTCACAGAGGTAGCATAACTCATGTGCCTCGAGACCGTGTCTCGCCCTTCTGTCGCCGGTCCAGTGCCTTCTTTTCATGGCAAGCCAAATAAAGATCTTGATGCGAAGCGGAGCCCACGTTTTCCACATCAATGTATGGCCTGACATTCTGATGGATCCGCTGTGCATCATGTCGTATGCCGATTTGGCTGTGTAGCATCCGTCTGTCGTCCAGCGCCAAATGGTCCTGTCAGGCTCATTGCCAAGATGGATGTCTCCAACGCTTGCCCAAAGATGTAGGTAATCCGTGAGCTCGAGCAGTGAGAGGCCTCCACTTATGCAGCGCACCCATGTGCTGTCATGGAGGCCTTGTCTGACCGTTAGTGTGCGTCGCACCCGCCGTGAAATACCACAGTGCGGTATGGGGCGATAGTGGCGGCGTCCTCCCGTCAATCCACCGGTCTTCCCGAAACAAAGCGTTTACTTTGTCGCCTAGCTGGTGAAGGTTGGCGCTCTGAAGAAGGCTTGGACCTCCTTGGAGGTATGGATCGGCAAATGGTTCCACGCCCGATCTTGATTGGTTCTCTGCAGCCACAGCCAGCGCGTTTGTAGGGCGAAACCGGCTAGCTTTAGATCGCTGATCCCAAGTCCACCGAGCTCCTTCGGCCTGCAGCAGGCTTTCTAGGCAACCATGCACTTTCCTCTGACTGACTAGTCCTTCCCGGCCCAAAAGAATCGCCTGCAGATGCCGTCGATCTCTTTCCTTGCCCAAGTGGGAAGATTTTACGCCATCATGGCGTGTAGATGGGAACCGCCAGTGGGACCGACTTTACCGGACCAACCTTCCACTTCTCGCCATTAGCGAACCGTGGCTCGGTGGTAGCTTCACTGTCGACGGCTTGTACTAGTGACTAGTAGTGTGCTTTGGGGATTGATTTGGTGCTGAGCGGCAGCCCCGGATATTGATTGGAAATGTCTCGCACTTGACCGAGGATGGACACAATTTCCGCGTAACATCGTCGCCTCCGTAGATGGCGATGGATGAGCACTTAGCTAGGTTTGTGTGCAGCCCATTGTGCTGTCCGAAAATGCTTAGAATCTCTTTGACCGCCCTTGCCTCCTGGATAGATGGCCGTCTGAAGAGAATGGCGTCGTCGGCATAGATCTTTGCATTGGAATTTGATTTCGAAGGGGCTATCTTCTTCAACACACCGTCATTTGCCGCCTTCTTGAGCAGGTCTTTGGAGGACATCCATTGCTATTATAAATAGCATCGGGGATAAGGAGTCCCCTGCCGAACCCCTCTAAGGTGCACGATGGGGTGTCCTTGCTGGCCATTCGATGAGTATCTTCAACGAGGCGGTGCTCAATAGCGTCTCGATCCAATTTGCACCATCTATCGCTGAACCCGATGCGCTTGCGGTACCTCCAGCGAGGAAAGGCCAAGAGAGGTGTCGAATGCCTTGGATATGTCAAGCTTCAACAACAACATGGGGATTTTCTTCCGCTTTGATCGGCACTCTTGCTCATTGCACGTGCGTGCTTGTAGTTGTCATGGATAGAACGGCTTCGATGAATGCATTCTGGTTCTTGCTCACCATTTCATCCAATCGAGGTGCTAGGCGAAGTGAGAGCAACTTGAGATCAGCTTTGCAAAAGCTGTGAATCATCGTGATCGGCTTCGAAGTCCGATGGACGGTTTGCACCAACCTTCTTTGGTAGTAGCACGATCGATTGCATTGTTCGAGATGTTCATGTTCCCCGTTCCCGGCTCGACGCGCGTGCTTTGCCTCCATGAGCTCATCTCGATGGTAGCCATGATGCTTTGTAGAAGGCTCGGGTGAAGCCATCCGGCCCGGCGCCCTATCGCTTCAGCGATTTTGATTGCCGCCCAAACTTCTTCGGCGCTGAAATGCGAGTCCCGATCGTCTGTGTTGAGATGGTGGAACCCAAGTGTCTCAAAGTTCAGGGTTCGTCCTCCGCTTGCCGCCGAACCAAACACCCCGGCAAAGTGTTTGTGTAGTGCCAGCTCCATGTCGCTATGGTCCTCGGTGATATGTCCATCGGCCAGCAGTGCTAGGATGTAGCTCCGTTGTTTCCTGCCTCTGGAGATCAAGTGAAAGTAAGCTGTGTTCGCATCTCCGTCTGATAGCTGGCGAATACGAGACCGCTGCCTCGCCATTGTATGTTCCAGCGAGGATAGGCCCAAGCACCTCATCTTTAGTTGCTTCCTGAGACCGTTCTCTGCCAGTGATAGCTGTCGGCGCTCTTGCGCACAGTCTAGCCGAAGCACCAGCTCTCTGGCCAATAGAAGCTGTGTTTTGATCTGGCCAATTCTTTTCTCCGACCAGCTCTGCAGCTGGCGCACCAGGTTCCTGAGCATCAGGTCCAGCCGTGCCAATGGGTTGCATGCCACCGTGGGTCGCTTCCACGCCTAGGCGATGAACTCGTCATAATCCTCACACTTTGGCCAAAACACCTCGAAATGGAACCGGGGCTTTCTCATCTGGGCCAAGTTTGTTTGTAGAAGTAAAGCGCAGTGGTCGGAGGTCTCTGAACCCAGTCCACGCAGGGCGCGTTAGGGAACAAGGTGTCCCAGTCTAAGGAGACTAGGACTCTGTCTAGACGGACGAGGGTCGGGTTCGCACGTTCGTTGCTCCAAGTGTAGGACCTCCCGTGGAGGTGGAGATCCTACAACTCCAGCGTTGCCACCGTTCGCCTGAATCTTCTCAGGTTTGCTCTGTCGACCCTGTCATTGTTTTTGTCTGCTTCATTGAGGATGAGGTTGAAGTCCCCTGTCAGCGCCCATGGTCCGTGGCATGCATCCCTGATGGCCTCCAGTTCTTCAAGGTCGAAGCACTTGATCATCACCATGCCATCATCTTTATCATGCTATGATCTTCATTTGCTTCACCACTTCAAGTGTGCTACCTATCTCATGATCACTTGATAAACTAGGTTAGCACTTAGGGTTTCATCAATTCACCAAAACCAAACTAGAGCTTTCAACCATGCAATGAAGATAGGTTTCTAGGCACTGGTTTAAGCGTTTCGTTTGACCGTCGGTCTGTGGATGATAGGCCGAGCTCATGTTGAGTGTAGTGTCAGTAAGTTTGAAGAGCTCTTGCCATAGGGCTCTGGTGAAGATGCGATCTCTATCTGAGATGATCACAGAGAGCATTTCGTGCAATTTGTAGACATTGGAAATGAAGGTTTGAGCAACAGAAAGGGCAGTGTATGGATGGCTGAGACATATAAAGTGGGCATATTTGGTCAGTTTGTCGACAATGACCAAGATAGTGTCAAAGGGCTTGGACTTGGGTAGACCTTCGATGAAATCAAGGCTGATAGTGTGCCAAGCGTGTTGGGGAACAGGCAATGGTTGCAATAAACCCGGCAAACGACAATGTTCAGGTTTACCCTGGGCACATACCTTGCAAGCGTCGATGTAGTCAGTGACAGACTGCTTCAAATTGGGCTAGGCTAACAGGGCTCGAACCTTATGATAAGTGGCACTAATACCACTGTGTCCTCCTAGACCACTAGAATGGAGTACCAGTAACACAGCCCGGTGTGCTTCTGTGTGGTTGCCTAGCCAAATTCTGTTTTTATACTTGATGAGACCATCAGATAGTGAGAAGCCTTTATCATTTGACCCAGTAATGTTGAGTTCTGTGAGCAGTTGCTTGGTTTGATCATCCTTGGTATAACCT